CAAACCGGAGTGCTCTGCAAAAGCAGCCAGTGTTCTTAACTACTAAACTACCTCTCTAGTTTATTCTTTAAAGGTTACTTATAGATTAAATTGCCTTGATTTCATTTTCGATTGCTCAATACTCATATACAGAACTGATTTTGCAAAATTGATCTTGTATCTTGTCATTTAGCTGAAATTAAACTCATTTATTACATCTTTTTTCCTAATCTGGGTACCTTTCATTTCATTTTCTAGTCTAACGTCTCTGGTTAAAACCTCAAGTACAAAGTTAAAATAGGAGCAATAAAAAAGATCTCCTTGCTTTTTTTTCTTTTCTTTTTTTTTAAATAAATGCTTTATCAGCTGAAGTAGTTTCCTTCTAGTCCTAATGACTAGGTATACTACCCTGTATCTGAAAGTATACAGCAGTGCCCTTCTTTATTGCCAGTGCCCTTCTTTAACTTAGTCCAAAACCACTAAATTAAAAAAATAGAAAAAACTGCTTCCTGTGCATGCTTCAAGATGTGAGCGATCACTCCTCTTTATGTTCCGACCACCTCTTACCATGCCTCCCCACCAAGATGGATTCTGATTCCTCTGGAACCATAAGTTCAAATAAACTCCTTTCTATAAGCTGCTTTGGTCAGTGCTTCTATCACAGCAACAGCGAAGTAACTAATATAGGTCAGTACGTTAAGGAACCCATTTTTAATTTTACCTTTTATTAGTTTGAATAATCACATGCATCTACTAGACTAGCCAGCTCAGGTCTAGAAACTGACAGAGTAAACATCTGTGGAATGAAAGATGACCACATTAGTCAATGCTCCTCTTTTCCCAAACCTTCTAAGATAAAAACAGTACTAGAATATGGAAAGGAGTTCTTTGATTTAAAAAAAAAAAAAAAAACCTAGTGTACTTTTAAGCAAGGTATTCTTTAAAGACTATGTACCAACTCCACTGCCTTGTAGAAAGTTACATTATAGCAATCACTGATGAGAATGTCCTTTCTCTGGCTATCCAGATCCACCTACATTTATCATAGTACTTAGCTGAAGGAATTGTCTCACATCTAAATTTATTAATTCAAAAGCTAAAGACAATCATGTACTGCCAGACTTGGTGACACACACCTTTAATCCCAGCAGAGGCAGGTAGATCTCTGTGAGTTGGAGGCCAGCTCAGTCTACATAGTAAGTTTCAGGGCCAGCTGGGGCTATAGGGAGACCCTGTCTCAAAAACAGACAAATACATACATACATACATAACATACATACATACATACATACATACATACATACATACACACACACACATATATATATATATATAATTAAGCACTGGAGATTAGGAATACAAATAGACTAAAATTCAGTGTCTGCTTTCAGAAACTCAGTAATATATATAAAAATACAAGTATGCAAGATTGCCTAATACTCCAGGCAGTGATCAAAGACCACAGGGAAATGATGTCTGACCACTTCTTTCCTGAGCCAACTGAATCAAACACAGAGACATTACCAGAAGTATTTACTATGGAAAAATGTTTACTTGGTTTTTAGGAAAATTCAAAATTAACAGTGCTCATATTTCCTCATGACATAAATATTGATGCTGGAAAGCAGTAAGCTAAATGAATGTATATGTAACAATCATAATACTTGGATTTCGTTTGTTTGGGATACACCTTAATAATTTCAAGTACCAAAACATTATTTTTTTAAACATTTTATTTAAGGGACTGGAGAGATGGAGAGCACTGGCTGCTCTTGCAGAGGATCAGGGTTTGAAAACACTTTACGTGTCTGAGTGTATCGCCTGTATGTAAGCGCACCCATGTCATACAATGCTCAAGGAGGCCAGAAGAGGGTGTTGGATTCCCCTGGAACTGGAGTTAGGGACGGCTGTTAGCTGCCATGTGGATACTGCTCTTAACTGCTGTTTTCATTTGGGGAGGGGCCTCTTTTTTTTTTTTTTTTTTTTTGATGTAAGGTCTTCCTGTAAGTCCCAGCTAGCCTGAAACTCACTATGTAGACCAGGCTAGACTCCCATCTCAGAGAGATTCATCTGTGTCTGCTTCCCAAGTATTAGGATTAAAGGCATATGCCACCACATCCAGCTCAAAGCATTATTTTTAATTAATTAAAAAAAATTTTTGGTCTTTTTGAGACAGGGTCTCCCTGAAGCCCCAAGCTGACCTGGAACTCACAGAGATCCGCCTGCCTAGGCCTCCCACAGGATTAAAGGTGTGCACAACCATGCCTGGCTAAAACTTTTTTTTTTTTTTTTTGAGACAGGGTCTCCCTGTAGCCCCAGCTGGCCTTGCACTCACTATGTAGACCAAGCTGGCCTTGAACTCACAGGGATCTGCCTGCTTCTGCCTCCCGAGTACTGGGGATTAAAGGTGTGCGCCACCACACCCGGCTGAGTAATATCATTGCTTTGAACTTTCCTGTTTTTCAATCTGAGTAATTTTACACCTTGAGAGATGGGCATCAAAATAAATAAAAACCTGTATTTTGTGAAATGGAATGCTAGGCACTGCAGAAGAACCAAAGCAAAACAAAGGCTTCAAAGTATAATTTGGTAAGGAAAATATATCATGAACAAAGTACAATACAAGGAAGGCTATGAACACTTCTTTTGGTAGTACCAGAAGTCTTTTCAAAAGTGTTATTAAAATTTGGACATTAATAAACAGAGCTCACTATTCATTCATCAATTAGACATTTAGCATCTTCTGTATCCAGTGCTAGGTGGGGTCACAACAAATAATAGGTATGGGAAAAATAAGCATTAGGCTAAGTACTCTTAGCTACTAGAAGTTTATTGTTTTACTATTGGGGGGAGTTATTTTATCTTTAAATTTTTTATATATTATTGTTATTTTATGTATATGAGTGTTATGCCTGCATGTAAGTAAATGCACCCGTGTCATGCAATGTCAGTGGAGGACAGAAGAGGCTGTCGGATCCCCTAGTACTGGAGTTACGGACAGTTGTTAGCTACCGTGTGTGTGCTGGGATTCAAACCCAAGTCTTCTGCAAGAACAGTCAGTGTTCTTAACCACTAAGCCATCTCTCCACCCCCCTAGGGGTATGTATTTTAAATTGTGTGTGTATATGCAGTGTAAACTGCAAAGGCTGGATAAATTAGGCCTCTCACTGTAGCCAGGTGTGGTGGTGCACACCTTTAATCCCAGTACTTCAGAGGCAGAGGCAGGCAGATCTCTGTGAGTTCCAGGCCAGCCTAGTCTACATAGGGAGTTCCAGGCCGGCCAGCTGCGGCTACAGGGAGACCCTGTCTCAAAAAAAGACCAAAAAAATAGCCTCACTAAATGAATGAAGAAATACTCAGGCAAAGAGTTTATGGGAAGAAATCTTTCAAACTTTAGTCTCTGTGTGTGTGTGTGCATGTGCGTGTGTGTGTGTGTGTGTCTGTGTCTCTGTCTCTGTCTGTGTCTGTGTGTGTCTCTGTTAAGGGTAGGAAAGCAGCATAAGGAGTAAGTTGAGGGCATGAAAATTTACTGGCATATTTGTAGACCTCAAAGACCAATGTGACTGAAGCTTGGTATATAATCAAAAAGGGCAAAATTGGGATTGAAAAAGTAGGCAAGGAGGTGATCCTACAGATAAAAAACGGGAGGCTCAGGTATGTTACAAGAAGAACAAATATACTAATTTGTCTATTACACAATTAAATGCAAAACAAATTACATTTGTACTATATACTTCACGGTTACAGTCTTAATCCAATTTTACTACACGGTAAGAAAGCTAATGGTTCCCTTTTACGGATGAAAAGAAAACAGGATCTGAAGACCTAAAAGCCTTACTAATAAGATAACAATGCTAATAAGCAAGTTTCAAATCCCAGACATTTTAACTGAAGTGAAACCATACCTTTCTACTATGTAATCAGAAGCAAAGAAAAGTAAGGTTAAGACAACAAACCACATCAAATGTCAAGCTAAGAAATATGGGCTTTAATAGTGAAAAAAAACTAGTAAAAGGAATATTTAGGATGATTCAGTCTCTACACTGCATACAGAGTACTTTTTTAATGTATTTATTATTTTATGTGCATGAGTGTTTTACCTGCTTATATATTAAGACCTGTGTCATGCAATGCCCATGGAGGCCAGAAGAGGGTGTTGGATCCCCTGAAACTGGAGATTATAGTTATTAGACTCTACTAGCAATTGAACCAGGTCCTCTGGAAGAGTCAGTGCATTTAAGCTGAACCATCTCTTCAGCCCCACATACAGGATTCTTTTAAACAGAAGTTGATTTATACAACATAATTACCATGTGTTATATCAATTCTTTTAAAACAGTATTCCTCAAAAGAGTAAGACTGTGTGTAGGTGTAGGCAGTGAGATGACTAAATACAATTTTCAGTCATAACATACTGTGCTAGTAAATTTTTTTTGTCAACTTGACACAACAAAAACCTGGGAAGATGGTACCTGAATTGAAGAGTTTCCTAGATCAGAATGAATGGTCAGTCTAAGGGTATGCCTGTAAAGCAATGTTCATACACATAAAATAAAAATAAAAAATAAAATATTTTTTTAAAGAACAACCAAAACAGGTGTTTTTCCAAGACCCGCAGGTCGCTCAGGCTGGCTTCAAACTCGTGGCAATCCTCCTGCCTCAGCTCCCGAGAGTGAAAATTGCAGGTGTGGGCCGCCCTGCGCTGGTCTGCAGCTGCCCCAGGGCAGAGTTCACTCGTGCTAAGGACCGTGCGTTTATCCCTGTCTATAATGCCATGAATTATGTATAGGATTGTGTTAACAAATGGAAATAAAATGATAGCTATTTTTTAAATTTCAAAAAAAAAAAAAAAGAACAACCAAAATATATAACAGTTCTTTAAATCTACTAAATTTTAAAAAGTTTAACATTAAGGAATATTTTTATTTAGCCAATACTGAATGGTCAGCATCAATTAATAAAATCTTTAAGTTAGAAATACCATGAATGCAAAGAACTGGTTATTAAATTTACATGTGTACCTTTATCCTTCTTAAAATCCAAAGCATCTTCTTTATCAGTCACTATTTCCTTCATATTGATGATACTCTGATGGGTAAGTTGCCGCAGAATTTTAATTTCTCTAATTGCTGTAATTGGAAAGCCCTCCTTTTCATTATCCAGACGTACTTTTTTTAAGGCTACCATTTCTCCTATTAGAAAGTTAGATAAAATCAGGGTGTTAGCAAAAGCTTTAAATTCATTTTAACACAATTTCTGTTCCTACTTCTTCAAATTATAATTCACAAATTATAGGTTCCAACATACCAAATAATATTTGCAAGTCAAGAAATTAAGTCTCTCAGTTATCTAGTCATGACAATGAGGTTCAAAATATCTCAAAAGTATGTCTTATACTGCCATATAATTTAGGCATGAGTTGCTTTTTATCAGATAAGATTTAATTAACACCACACACACACACAACATTTATTAGAGGTTGAGTATCCTTTATCTGAAAGGCTTGGGACCAGAAATGTTTAAATTTGGGTGGATTTATTTTCATAGACTTAATAGGCTGGGCATCGATTGGTAAATATTCATTGTTAACAAAGGTGTGTTCATTTCAATTCTCTGGAGAAAAAAAAAAATTACAAATTTTCTAAGGTAAAGAATATCATCTCAATCATTAAAACATTCATTTTTTAATGAAGTTTTCCTATGATGTAGTGTGTTTTCTTATTTCATTAAAGTTTTCAGAAGTTAAAAATCTAATCTTTCTGATACCATCCTATAGATATCAATTATTACTCTGTGTTTCTATGTTCTAGCTGCTTCCATCACTTTCTAACCATCCTCCCCTATACTAAATGGCATCAAGTAGCTGGCAATTTTCAATTTTCATCTTGGTTTATGTGAAAAATAAGTAAACAAAGATCAGGCGCTAGGGAGATGCCTCAGTGGTTAGGAGTACTTGCTGCTCTTTGCAGAGGAACCAGGTTCAGGTCCCAGCACATACACTGCACCTAACAACATCCATAACTCCAGTTCCAAGGGAATTGAACGCACTCTTCTGGCCTCTGCAGGCATTACATGTGCATGGTGCACTTACATACATGCAGGCAAAACACTCACAAAATAAATTAAAAAGATTAAATGTTAATTCTATGATTATTTAGTAAAATACATAGCTTCTGTTACTTTCTCTCTTTTGAGGTCTTTCAAAACTTGTTTCCTAGGTTCTTGATTATGTTCTGAAATATAAAGGTGTTGAATCTGGCCTATAGGGATAACTTCTACAGAGGGAAAAAAACTGGCCAAAAGAAAATTGTTATGTGAGACTTAATACAAAATAATTTACTACTAATACCAATGTCGAGCATGGTGGCAACTGCCTGCAACCCCAGCTCAAGGGGCTGAGACAGTGGGATCTCAGCAATTTGAAGCCAGGCTGGATTATATACTAAGACCTCGACAGTCACAAAAAAAGCCAATACTTTTGCCTATCTACTAATATTTTAATAATTATTCACCACAAAAGGAAAATATCCCTAAATTCCAACAGACAGCCCATCACAAATACTGAAGAAACATTTTTAAAATATCTACATTTATACACCCGTATGTTCTCATGCTATGTAGGTGTGCACACAGGTAGGTGCACATACAAAACAATTAAGACTAAACAAGAGCACAAAGAATTTTATTTCTTTGGACCTGTAGCCCCAGCTGGCCTAGAACTCACTATAGAGCAGAACTCACAGAGATCTGCCTGCCTCTGCCTCCCACGTGCTAGGAATAAGGCGTGCGCCACCACACCTGGCTTCATTGGACTTCTTAAAAACTATACATTAGAAGAGAAGCAGAAATTAAGCATACATCGATCCAACCTTGGTGTTTTCTTACCGGTGTCTTTATCCCTGGCTTTGTAAACTTGTCCGTAAGTACCTTCTCCAATAATTCCAATGATATCAAATTTATCCACGCAGCGTTTTCCCCAGTCAATATCTTTTTCTTTGATTTCACCATAGCGAGGCCCACATATTCTATTAAATACAATTCTTAAGTTTTTATAGGCAATCAAGCAAATTGAATGCAGTTTAATATTCAATATCCACCCTACCCAATCTTAAATCCTTCATTTTCCCCTATCCTTGCATGGATGTGAACATCGATGTAAGAAATAATTACACTGTGTGTCGATATTATGTTATCATAAAAATAAATTGATAATAAACTGATTTCTAAATGCTGACTCTTCTGCAGTACTTAATGAGGAGAAGCAATAGTACTTCTATGAAGGGCTGTTAGACATCTAACTTTTCTTTTTTTTTTTTTTTGAGACAGGGTCTCCCTAGCCCCAGCTGGCCCTGGAACTCACTATGTACACTAAGCTGGCCTTGAATTCACAGAGATGCGCCTACCTCTGCCTCCCAGGTGCACCACCACACCTGGCTAGAAATCTAACTTTTCCGCAAATGAAGAAAACCAACATTACTAGAAAGAGTCAAAGTTCTCTAACCAACCTCCATCATTTTACTTTTTTTAATGATTCTATGTGTGCATGCATGTACACATATACATATAGTATATGGTTATGAACATTAACAAACACTATAAAACTTATTGACAATTTTAGACTTGTAGCAGGATAAAATCATCATAAAAATATAAAGATTTTGGGGGCTAGAGAGATGGCTCAGTCATTAAGAGCACTGACTGCTCTTCCAGAAGACCCCAGTTTGGTTTCCAGCACCCATATGGCAGCTAATTGCCATCTCTACTCCAGTTTCAGGGAATCCAACGCCCTCTTCACGCTTCCGCAGACACTGCACACATGTGGTGCATTTACACACACAAAGGCAAACACTCATATACATGAAATTAAAAAGTTTCTTAAAAAAAAAGATTTTTCATAACTATAAAGTACTGATATAATCGAGTATCCACACTTAGGTAGAGATAAATGTGACTGAAATCACACATTATTTAAAAATGTTACTTTTCATATTGCAGACAATCAACCACAGAATTCAGGAATAATTACAGCCACATACCAGCCTCATATATTTTAATTAGATGGTATCTGAACAGCAATTCTAAATGAGATCTAGTCCTCAAATTTTACACTTTTCTTTAGTTTGTTTTATTTTTCTTTTTAAAGCATCAGTTTTTAATTTCCTTAACTCACAGGTTTTAAGGAAAAGAATTCTATCAGATATTGAATATATTCACTGAAGCTTCATCCACTCCATGTTGCAAAATTCCATTCCATCTCTAAACTAGAATGGATCTAGTTTTAGAGAAAATGAGGAGCTACAAGCAAAGGAAACATTGCCCATGACTAATTCTGTCTGATCTCATTGAATGCTGCTTTCCATTTGCTCAATATTAATAATGGTTTTATATTACTTAGCTATCTTGATTAAAGAAATCGTCTTTGATACATGCAATACCCCCAAAAGTAATAATTACAAAATGCAATAAAATTTCATTTGGCTTTATTAGTCACTATAAGTAAAAACTACTTGTGAAAATTTGTTTCAAAACTCTAATCCATGTATGTGTTCAAAAAAATATATACTTTTCATTTTAAAATCTTAGTTTTGTTTTGTAAGTTTATAATGATCCAAGATCATTTCAGGCCAGTTTAAAATATGTAGAAAGCAAGCACATACTTAGGCCTCCTTTTACTGTGCAGTTGTGTTGCTGTTTTCTTTTCCTCTGGACTCTTTGAAAGATCATCTCCTCCTGGTAGCTCAGGGGGCAGTGGTAAATCAGCAAGCAGACATCGGAGTTTCTTTTCCACTTCTTTTTTAACTGCTTTTACAGAAATGTTGCCTCTTAAGCTAAAAAAAAGGGGGGGGGTCACACAAAGCACAAATATTTGATTACATAATAAAAATATGGTCACCTTTTAAGATCTTAAGCAGCATGCAAAGGCTGGACATATTTCATATTATTTCACACTGCAAGTCCAGCTAAATTAATACACTATTCAACTGCAAAATAAATTTAGGGGTAAAAATTACACAATGAAGTTAAAACTATGGAAATATGTACAAAGTATAGACTTAGTTAATAGTAATGTATCAATACTGACTCACTGAAACAAATACTAAGATACTAGTAAAAAGGAAAGTGGGTGCAAGGTGAATGGGGACCTCACAATATCTCTGAAACTTCTGCAAATGTAAACCCGTTTTAAAAAATAAACTTTAGGGAGCTGGAAAGAAGGTTCAGTGGGTAAAGTCCTTGGTGTGAAAAAATGGGGGCCTCAGCTGAAATCTCTAGAATCCATGCAAGGCTGGGCATAATAGCCCAAGTCTATATTACGAATGCTCCTAAGGAGAGAATCCCAGGAAGCGTAGGGGACGGCTTGCCGGGTGTATACAGTGCAGCAGCAAAACAATAACGAGAACCTGCCTCAAACAGGATAAAAGTTGAGGACGAGCACCAATGGTTGTCCTGACCTCCACAGGCACACCATGACATGGACATGCCAACAAACACATACTTACATGCCCACACGATACACACACAAATAAAAAATAAAGTTCATATTAAAAATTATGTAGCTTTGGCCTGGCATGGTGGCACACACATCTTTAATCCTAGGACTCAAAAGGCAGAGGCAGGCAGATCAAGGCCTGTAACTTACATAGCAAGTTCCAGGCCAGTTGGGGCTACAGAAAGACCCTGTCTCAGAAAAATAAGTAAATAAGTAAATAAATAAGTAAATAAGTAAATAAATAAAAAGTAAATAAGTAAATAAATAAAAATAAACAAGGTAAATAAGTAAACAAGTAAACAAACAAACAGAATCTACAAACTGAAAATCAACTAATGATGCTTTGCAAAAAACCTCAATAATTCTGTAACACTTGATTTCGTCTGAAGACACACTGATGTTTTCTTGTAAATAAATGACATCACATGCTAGAAATAGCACTATTACCTTGTCCATTTACATAACCAAACAACTAATTCAATAGTAATTCTTTTTCAGTGTCCATTTTTCTAAATTACACAATGATTTCTCTAAAAAATTTTTAAAGACACTTGCATGAAATTACAGATGAGCCGTTAGTCCTATCCTTTATATAAATACCTGAAGAGCTGTGACCTTTAAACTACATCCTTTTTTAAGAAATATTTTATTTATTAGTATGAGTGTATTGCCTGCATGTGTGTGAGTACACCATGTCATGCAATGTCGCAGAGGTCAGACAAGGGCTTCAGATTCCCCTGGAACTGGAGCTATGGACATATGGACAGTTCACAGCCCCCATGTGGGTGCTGGGAATCAAACCTGGGTCCTGTGCAAGAGCAGGCAGTGCTTTTAAACACTGAGCCATCTCTTCAAACCCTAAACTACATCTTAACTTGGCAATTGAGGATTTAAATTTTCCAAGATACTGCAACATCTGTTGTCTCATTATGACATGTTAAAAGAGAATCTTTTAATGATAATAAAATTTGGATTTTACAAACTTTTACACAAGTTTTGAATTCAGTAATGGGAAAATTTAGTAAGACTATGCTGCTGTGATCCAAAATAGGTAAACATGCTACCAATAAAAACAATTTTATTTTGGTTTCATTTTCAATTCCTGTTAAACAATTTATTGTAAAGCAAAAAGGTCCCTTCAATATCATAAGCTAAAAACTACTTACCAAAAATCAGGGTAAAATTATCATTTTTCTTCATAACCCTGTTACTCTCTAGTAGGTTGTGTTTGGTTGGTTTTTGAGACAGGGTCTCACTATGTAGCCCTGGCTGGCCTCAAACTCAGAAATCTGCCTGCCTCTGCCTCTGCCTCTGGAGTGCTCTGTCTCTCTAGAAGATTCTTTAACAGGTAAAGCATATAAGGAAACTGATTTGTAAACTTATAAGCAATAAGATAACATGCAATATGAAAAGTGTTTCCAGAGTAATGTGTTAGCTAAAGGTTTTCTAAACCATGTTTGAAACACATTGTCTAAAACTCTGCCTATTTAAAATAACTTACTTAGAAATCTGTAACCTCTAACTTTTAATTAAGGTTTTAGTCAAAATTCTCATTTTTCTCAAGATTCAAATTTTGATTGGGGTGGAGTGTAAAAGTCTTAACTTCACCTTTTTTTTTTTTTTTAAACATAAAGGACAACCTCTTTCAACAACTACATTAAAGGAATCACCAGATGTTACAATCCTAGAACATTATATAACTAAAACAAAGTCGTGTCATTCCCCCCCCCGTCCCCCCCCCTTTCTTTTTGAGACAGGGTCTCCCAAGGTGGCCTGGAACTCACAGATCACCTGCCTCTGCCTCCCAGGTGCTGGGATCAAAGGCATGTGCCACCACATCTGGCAAAAACAACGTATTTTTTTTACTGAATATTTTCAACAACTAAATAGAAAATGTTTATAGTTTTTCAGTACACTACAATACAACAAAAATAAATAAAATGCCTTAACAAGAAGTGTATAAGACTAATGGAGAAGGAAGTTTAGACTGAAGAACATAAGCCTAGATCTGAAAAAAATGCAGAGATGTTTTTGCATGAGAAACTAGTAAAGTTGTACATCTCAAAATTATTACACCCAAAAGTCGCAAATAAAAACTAAACACTAAGCCAAAATTTTCAAAATGCAACTTAACAAGTTGACTGACAGTAAATTCTGTCTATAAATAAAAGCAAAATCACTCTCTTTTAAAGTATTGTATTTATTATTTTTTATGTGTATGGGTGTATGTATATGAGTGTATTGCCTTCATGTAAGTGTACCCCTGTTGTGCAATGCCCATGGAGGTGAGAAGGGGTCTTGGAACCCCTGGAAATGGAGTTAAGGATGGTTGTTGGCCGCTACATGGATGCTGAGAATTGAACCTGGGTCCTTGCAAGAGCAGCCAGTGCTCTAAACTGCTGAGCCATCTCTCCAGACCCGCAAAAGCATTCTTAAATCAGAAAATTTACATATTCAGATCCCAGACTTTAAAAGAAGAAAAAAAAAAAAGCAAAAGCTACATAACACTGGGCCCAAATTCCTATATGGTAGGGCCAGGGCTGAGCGTGTAGCTCAGTGGTAAAATGTTTGGTTCATATGCACAAGGTCTTGAGTTTAAACACCAAAACCAGGAAACAAAAAAGAAAAAAAAGCAAACCGCTCCTCTTCACTTTCATATTGCCCATCTGCCCCTTTAATAGAAATTGGAGTAAAAACTGATATACCAGGTCTCTAAAGACATTAAAGCACTATGGTCCTGGCAAAGAAATGAAACATATCAACAGAGAATAAATGAATGGAAACACAGATGTTCTTGAGAATTTTATATGTGGCACTTCAAATTAGTGAAATTTCATAAACAGTACTATTAACAACATTGTTCGAGGGACAAGGGGTCAGATCTGCTCTTCCTTCTTCACAAAACAACCAAAAAATTTTTCTGTGAGAAAATCTTCAGTTAACCTTTTTAAATTTTATAAGCCTAGATTATAAAGGGGAAAAAGTCTGACTATAAAAATGGAATATATCAATAACAAGTAAAAAAAAATGTCAAAGAAGACGACTCTGAGATGCACAGATCAAGACTCAATGTAAGAAAATCCTAGAATCAGCCGGGCGTGGTGGCGCACACCTTTAATCCCAGCACTTGGGAGGGGGAGGCAGGTGGATCTTTGTGAGTTCAAGGCCAGCCTGGTCTACATAGTGCGTTCTAGGACAGCTGGGGCTACAAGGAGACCCTGTCTCAAAAAAAAAAATAAAATAAAATAAAGAAAGAAAATCCTAGAATCAATTAAAAAAAAAGAAGCAAACGCAAGGAAGAGAATATGATAGAAAAAAATAATTAAGTTTATCTCCGTAACAATCAGAAAAATGTGAATTCAATAATAATGTATTTTAAAGACTGTCAAAAATTCAAACTAATAGAATCTAGTACTGTTAAAATAATTTCATATATCTGAGCACCTAAACTGGCACAGTCTTAGTAAAATATAATTTGGTGGTCTCAAGTTTTGAATGCATATAATTTGACATGTATCTATCTTACAAAGTTTGACATCTATAAATATTAAGGATGTTGACAGCAAAAATTTATAAATCTAAGTATCAATAGTAGAAAGCATGATGCATCCCATTTTATAGGTAAGAATGTTGAACCTATCTATAAATATTAATATAGGAAGGGGTCTTTAATGCATAAAGCTAGTTAAGGAATATTATGCATGATATGATCCTAAATATTTTTTAAAAGAAAACATGCTGATGAAAACACAATAGTAACAGTCTATGTTACTGGAAGAAAGTCTATGTTTTGGAAGAGAGACTAGAGTTCTGGGAGACTCAGTGAGTCTAAGAGTCTGTGGCTAGAAATCAAGGAAGTAACACAGGACAAATGAGGTCATGTGAAAAGGAGAAAAGAATCAGCCTAAGGAGTGTCTACTAATCCAGCTTCAACCCTATGACTCTGCAGTAACAGTACTTATGATTAAACATCAGACTGGCCTTATTTTGAGATTAACTGTGATATTTAAGGGTAAGACGGCATGATGGCAACCACTTATTTTCCAACAGTACGGCTAAAATGTACACACAGACACACACACAGACACACCTTCCCTACTTAGGGAAATTATGAGCTCAGAGCAAAATGTTAATACTTGCTGGCTTTAGATGGAGGTTATACAAATGTTAGTATTATTTTTTCAATTTTTCTGAATGCCTGAATACTTAAAAATAACAACTACTGGGGCTGGAGAGATGGCTCAACAGTTAAGAATACTGGTTGTTCTTGCAGAAGACCCGGGTTCAAATCCCAGCACCCACATGGCAGCTAACAAATGTCCATAACCCCAGTCCCAGGGATCAGTCTCTTCTGACCTCCCTCCACAGGCACTGCATGACACGGGTGCACTTACCTACATGCAGGCAATACATGCATACACATAAAATAAAAATAATAAAATTTTTTAAAAAGGTTTTTTTAAAAAAAAAAAAAAGTAACAACTACTAGAGTAAAGATTTGCAAAATCAGGAAGTCACAAAAAACATACAACCATTTACAGATTTCTTTGGGGATGTAACAGTAAGTTAACTAGGAATGGTAGTGTGCTTCAATAAGCATATCTCCTTAAGATGCATTGAACAAAGCTCTGGGTGTGGTGGCACATGCCTTTGATTCCAGCACTTGGGAGATCCAGATGGGCAGTCTCAGAGATCAAGGCCAACCTGGTCTACATAGTGAGCTCCAGGGCAGCTGGGACTAAAGGGAGATCCAGTCTCAAAAGGTCCTCACCCCACCACCACCACCAAAAGAAAAAGATATGGTTAACAAAATTGTGTAGACCATTATTCTTCTTTAAAACGGCCTTAAAACTGACAGTGAATAATAATTTTTTTAAATGCTTTCCATATTCTAGTTTCCAAAAGTATATCATAACATGAAAGATTCTCTCCATCAGAAGGAGTAATTTACAGACCATTTCAACTACTGCCTGTTTATCACAAAATAGCAACAACCAAATATAATTTACTAAAAAGAAATTATCATGTTCACTACTTTACCTTTTGTATAAAGGGGGGCAGGATGTGGAGGGTGTTTCACTCCTCCATGACAAAGGGAAGGATATGCACAGTTCTTTGCTCATAAAAACTGACCCTTTCAAACAAAGCACTGCTGGGCGTGCTGGTGCATGCCTTTAATCCCAGCACTTTGGGAGGCAGAGGCCAGCAGATCTCTGTGAGGTCAAGGCCAGCCTGGTCTACCTAGTGAGTTCCAGGCCAGCCCCCACTACAGGGAGACCCTGTCTCAAAAACAAAAACAAAAACAACAAACAAAGCACTAGGTCTATTATATTGTTTAACACTGTATAACAATGTTTAGTCATTTTTACATTTTTAAAATAAAAACATCATTAATCTAAAGTAATTAATATTCCTTATAGTCCTGATTTATACTAAAGCTAATATTCATATCTGAGATGCACGGCACTTTGAAAAATTCTGTTCATCAACTTATTGAATTCTTATAACTAATCTGTGAGTTTACAAGATAAATACTCTCACTCTAGATATAACCAAATGGAATAAGGCAAAGAAAATTGAAATCATAAGATCATTAAGAAATCATAAGATTATCAACAGTTATGAATGCCTTAAAATCGAAACCTATTGTTCACTAAAAAATTTCATTGTACTTCTAACAAACCTACAAAAACTATAAACTATCTCCTGCTACACCCATATCTCTTCAACATCCATTTATTTCTGAAAGTATTCACTTCTAAACATTTTTCTTTTTCTCGGTACATTTTTATTAAATCACCTAGAACTTCTTGGAAAATATCATCTCTTCACATACTTAAAACCTTGTACTTACATCATACCCACTGAAATAAAGAAATTTAATGAGCACACAGGTACGTTAGTAGTACTCTCTAATCTTAAGCAAATTTCATATATCCATAAAATATAAAAACATTCAAAGAAAGAAAAAAGACACAATAAAAGGCAAAAAGCAGGAGTCAGTATGGGCAGCCACCTCAAAAACAGATATAAAAAGAAAAGCAACATTACCCATTAACATGGGTAAACCAAGTTATTCAAAATATCTCAAGGGACATGTACTCCTAAAACATAAATGAAGAATAAAGTACTACACCAGGAATTTCATTGTAAACATGAATTTTCAGTACTCCTTTCAGCACACAAGCCTCTATGTACTGCAGAGCACATTCCAGAACTAATCAAAATTCACCAACCACTACTGTTAGGGACTTTCAGTTTTCCTAGAAACCAATGAACCCCACAAACACCACAGATAAGGACTGTTAGATAACATCTGGTTAAAATAAATGAGAACTTTCAGTGTTTTGAGTGTAGAAAAAAAGACATTTCACAGGACATGAAACAGAAACATGATTTAGCATTTAAAGGTTTTAAACCATAAAATTTTCATGCTAGTCAAAGTGGGTACCTGAAAAACATGCCCACATGATATAAAAATACCATAAAATATAAAAATTCATATAAAAATTCAGTATTTTCAAACGCTGTAACAAAAACACAAGGAAACTGCCCACATGATTGCTTTGTAATAGAAAGAAAACCAGCTTAATCTCTACAAAAATATAAATAACCAAGTGTGATAGTATTCTATAATAATCACAACACCCGGCAAGAAGATCAGGAATTCAAGGTGATCCTTGGACAAATAGTTGGAAGCCAGCCTGGATCACATGAGACCTTGCTTCAAAAATGCATAATACATACATGTATAATGGTTAAATGGCATGATAAAGATGAATCACAGAGTAGCACAATTCTTCTACCCTATGATGTATGTACAGGAAGCATTCTAAGCTGGATTTATTTTACAATAAATTTTGGTCATCTTCTTAAGAATAAAATGTTTCAAAATAAAAATAAAGCTGGGCATAATGATGTACATCTATAGTTCTAGCACCCCAGAGGCTGATATAGGAAGAATGCCATTAAGTTTAAGGCCAGCTTGAGTTACAAGATGAGTCCTTGTCTCACAAAAGAAACAAACCATCAAAAATAAACTTAAAAAATAAGTTATGTCCTCAATATCATCTGTCTGATAAATTATTTTGTCTGTTTGTGTAGAGGTCAAATGACAACCCTCAGGAGCCATTAGGTCAGGGGACAACTCTCAGGAGTTGGCTCTCTCCTGCCATCTGGGATTCCAGGATCAAACGCAGGTCATCAGGCCTACATGCAAATATCTGCTCAGCCACCTCACTGGCCCATATCACCAATAATCTCAAAAGAAAAGTTTGAACATGGTAAATGAAAACAATCATTTTACGACTTTTTGTGACATTATATGAATCATCCTTATCTTCAAGGCAAACTTAAGTAATTTAAAGATCAACTAAATTAAAAAGTAATAGGTTCATAAAGTACTGAAGTGATAAATTCTTATGGTCACTAAAAAAATCCTTGAAATAACAAACCCACTTAGGAGGAATCTAACCCCCAGGGCAATGCTCATTAATCGTTAAGGAAAAAGCAGACAACACTGGTATTCAAATAACCAATTCACGTTACAATATACATGAGATCCCAAAGCTATGCAAAATATTTTGCTAAAGTTCTCAGCATAAAGTAAATTTTATAAGCAATGTCTTTCATTTTTTAAAAATGTTTTATTTATTATTTTTATTTTATGTGTATGTGTGTATTGCCTGTGTGTAGGTAAGTACACCCCTGTCATGCAAGCCCACAGAGGACAGAAGAGACTGTCAGATCCCCTGGTACTGGAGTTACGGACAGTTGTTAGCTGCCATGTGGATGCTGGGATTCGAACCTGGGTCTTCTGCAAGAACAGCCAGTGTTCTTAACCACTGAGCCTTTCATTTTTAAAATGTGCATAATATAGAAAATTAAGTTATTTAAGGGACTAACAGTGACTTTGGGGAGGGAATAAGCTAGAAAAGGTCAAATCATTTCTCAGTTCAAACTTCCATTTTTTCTTTAAATAGCTGACAAATTCCAATTTTGTTTACACTTACCTATCAGCATCTTTATCTTCAGGCAGCATGGGAGGCAAAGGTAATGGTGGTAATGTAGAGGTCACTAAAGCCACATGTTGCTCCTTCTCCTTGGCTCCTATACTTGGTGTAAGTGGTTTGGTTTTCTCTTTAGTAGATACTGGTTCTTCCTTTGTAGCAGCAGATTTACTCTCTTTCCCAACTACAACTGTTTTCTTGGTGGCTTTATCAACAATCAAATTATTTTCTACCTTTGTTACTTGAAGAGGTGGCTTTGCTTTTACTTTGTCATTTTTTAAAGTTCCACCACTTGAGGGAGAAGGTGCAAGCTCAGTTTTAAGTCTCTTCACATCCTTCACATGGTTGGTTTGTGATGCACTGGCACCAGTTTCTGTATTCGCCTTGGTAGGTGTAGAAGCATTTGAGGCTTTGGCAGCTTTGGCAGCTGTGTCTGCAGCCTTTGCTGCCTCTGCAGCCTTCGCAGCCTCTGCAGCCCTTGCTGCCTCTGCAGCTCTAGCCTTTTTATTCTTGTTCAATTCAGCTGCCAGGCTACTCTTCAGAGTTAGTGTGCTAGGAGAAATGCTAGAATGCCGACTTCTGGATCTAGACAATCTGTGCCTGCTACGTGATCTTGAATGCCTAGATGAATATGGGCTTCTGCTTCGGGATTTGGCAGACCGTCTGCTGAAAATAATTAAGATTTAGTCAGTAATCAGACTGGACTTTATAGAGTGCTAACTTCTATCTCTGAAATGAAGGTAATTTACTTAATTTCAAAATCATAATATACCTTTTTTTGACAGCAAAGAGCTTTAAAGTAAAATATCAGGTGGCGAGATTTCTTGAAAAGAGATTCTTATTTTTCTCAGGCCTACAAAAGCCCAAAGGTAAGACTAGATAAACATACTCCTCAGTAAGAAGAAACACTGCAGCAACTGGAGAGAAGTAAGGCAGCACTGAGAAGTATGCAGTCAGAACACACAAAGGAAAAGAAGCAGGTAATGACTTTGGCACCCTCCCTCTCTCTGGCAGAAACTGGGCCCCTTCACCACCATGGCTCCTGCCAGGCACCAGCTTCTCAATAGCATGTATATTTCTTGTCACTTCAGAGTTCCCTATTACTACTGAAATGTACTCCTAAGTGCCTTTAACCTATCCCACCTCTGCAATCCAGTCATTGACCCATATGAACTGGATTCCATTTCTTTCTGGAGCCTTAACTAGCTATGCTCATATGCCAGGGCTTAAACTCCAAGTTGTTCTAAGGCAGGCAGGTTAGCACAATTTAGCGTGTTACCAAAAAAGGCAGTTCTTACTAGACTTTGGTAGAAAGGATGATTCTAAGGTAAGTAGGTTAACACAATGAACTGCCAAGAAGACAGTTCTTGCTGAAATTGTATAGAAATGATAGAAAGTAAATGAAACAAAGAATTCCTAGGAACCCACAGTGAAAATTGGCAGAGGGAAGAATAGGACATTTCTGTGTATGACTGGTATTGATATTATGTAGAGAGACAGGTTTAGGAACATTCCACAATTCTGAAATACAGACAAAATTACTAGTTAAGGATAAACTGAAATGCAAATTCAGCTTCTCTCTTATTCTTTCGAAAAGAATAGGTACTACAGCCAAACCTAGTGTTCAGCAGTGAACTATCATGTCACACAAATCCCATACAGTGTATATGATTAATGTTAAACTAATAAGAACATTAGTTTTGAAAACACTCTAATCTAAAACTTTAAATAGTCATGTATATCAATCATTAAAATCACCAATAAGTAACAAAGTTTAGCTGAATGTTAGTGATAAAATGGTTATAAAGTAACTCTATAACTTTAGACAGGAAACAAGTGTAATAATATCAAACACTTGGCTCCATTTTCATTTCCTAGCCCTTCAGGCTGCTAAAATCCAAGGGAAAAGAAATCAGATATAAGTTACATTTCTACCCCTTGATCAGACATTGTTGAGCAGTCAGAGAAAGCATGGAGGTGGTATCTCAGCACAGTAATAGTAGCAAGTTTTCAACAATGTACTTTCCTACACTGGCAACTCTGGTTACGGGTTTAACACAAAAATTATACATAATAAATTTTCAAACACTGTACTGCTGCTAATAAACTCCAATGCTACTTGCAGGGACATACCCACACATAGGAACACACATAACATTTTTTAAAAGGCATCATTTAAAAAGCAAAGAGATTATCCAGTGCTTGTAAGACGTCTTCTTAAATACACACAACTCGAGCAGAATCAGGACTGCAATGCAACTGGCTAGTACTCACTGTTAATTAGGATAGCTAATTGTCCTTTAGAGAGAGAGCATAGTGTCCTATTCATTCAACTGTATCACAGAGACTCTACAAAAATCCAGCTCTCCTGAAAATTGTGCTTGGCGAATAGATGCGAATTCTGGCAGTTTTGACCCTGTGCTACCATGACTGCTGTGAAGGGCCCTCTTCTCTACATCTCTCACCAGATTCCAACAGCACTGAATTTTCTTGCTATTTCAGGGTTCCCTGTGACTGGTGACAAAACATCCTTTGTAAGGCTCCCAATCTGCATCACCTCTTCAGTCTCCTCAGCCACCTAAATTAAGATTCCATTTCTTTCTAGAACCTTGACTGATTTAGCTTTAATGCCAAGTCTTAAACTATGAAATCTAAATTTTTAGCTTCTTCATTTTTTTATTGTAATATCCAATCCATCATAAAATACTACACAATACTGTTCACCAACATAATCTCCTAGGATGACAGAAACACAGTAGCATAATGTCCAATACAGTATCCACTAGCCTTGACATTTTTCTATCTTGCTTACTTTTCATTCTCATAGCACTAGCATAGCTACATTCATTTTTAAAAGTTTATTAAGTCCTCAGAAGAGGTATGAGAATGGTTACTAAACCAAAAAGCACCATAAAAGTGGTAGTATTAGTTTTTTCAAAAACGTGTCTTTCCAGCAGATGGCCTGAGAGTGCCTGGATCCAGCTTCCATGCCTGTCCATGGTGGGGAGCTTCCCCAAGTCCATGCCCTACCCAACCCCCTAACTAGGATTAGATGAGGCGCCTTCCATGTCCCCAGGGGTAGTCCTCTCTGCCCTACAGTAGGAGCTGAGATCTTAACAGATTGCCTCAGAGTGCCAAAATCATGGTATCTCCTGAGTGAACTTCCCAAATTGTGTTGTGAGTACCAGCTACTCCGGGCCCAAACATTAGAAGGAACCCTGAATTTACCTGACTGGGGCCTAACTTGGGCCTCTGTGGGAGCTCCTGAGTAGCTGATATGAAGCCATCGGTTACCTCCAAAATAAAATCTGAGAGAACCTGAAACCTAGACCAACCAGCTTTACATACCCAGTAAGAAAACAACCAAGGCACACCAATAATAGAAATAGAAGTAAACTTCAACTCAACAGAAGGCTTGAGTTTCATACGAGAATCACAAACAAAAGAAATCTACATACCAAGATCACAAGGGAAAAAATAATACAGAAAACCAAACCAGCATGTTTCCACCAAACTCCACCAGCCCTGTAGATGAGTTCTACAAGAACCCCCGACTAGAGATAACCAAGGACACAGAATTTAAAAGAACAATCATAAACATGATCAAGGAATTCAACGAATTTAAAGAACACTCAAGCACATCAACTAAATAAGATAAGGATAAACTTCTGACTGAATTCACAAGAGATAGAAATATTGAAGAAAACTCAGGCTGGAATGAAGTGAAAAACTCAATAAGCCAATCTGAAACAACAGGAGAAAGCCTTGCCACTAGAATGAATGAAATGGAAAACAGAACATCAGCACTGGAGGATAAAGTTGAAGAATTGGACCACTCAAGCAAAGATTATGAAAAATTTTTTTAAATACAGAAATGGAATATGCAGGAAATGTGGGACACCATGGAAAGACCAAATCTACATACACATCATAGGCATCTAGAAGGAGAAGAATTTCAGGTTAATGGTATTTTGCAAGATCTTAAACAGGATTGCAGAAAAGAATTTCCCAAAATTAAGGAAAGACATTCCCATACAATTACAAGAAGCACATAGACCACCAAATAGAATCAAAAAAGAAACTCACCATGGTATCATAGAAAACACTAAATGTACAGACCAAAGAGAGAATATTGAAAGCTGCAAAAGAAAAACAAGTCACATATAAAGGAAAGCCCATCAGAATTAAGCTGACCTATCAATGCAAACTACAAAAGCCAGAAGAGCCTGGACCAAGGTAATTGCTTAATGACCACAGATGCCAACCCAGAATACTTTACCCAGCAAAAAATGTCTATTATAGTTGAAGGGCTAGAAAACCCACCCTTCAAAGACTACTTCAAGCAATACAAAGAACAGAGAAAGGAACAACTGTAACCCAGGGGCAACAGTAAGAAGCTAAATGAAAGTATAATTGTGGAAACACAAAATTAGACAAAGAATGCAAGCAGTAATCAAAATGATGACAACCAACATACATCTTTCAATTATAACTTTAAATATCGATGGACAGAACTCCCCAGTCCAAAGACACAAACCAAATGAATGGATTAAGAAATAAAATCTATCTTTTTGTTGTCTGCAAGAAACCCATCTCACCTTCAAGGACAGGTACTACCTTAAATCAAAGAATGCAAAAGAAGTTTTCAAGCAAGTGTCACTAAGAAACAAGCAGGGGTTGCAATTCTAATACCTGACAAAATAGACTTCAAACTAAAACTAATCAGAAGAGATAAAGTGAGCCACTTCATTCTGATCAAAGGGAAGATTGCCCAAGATACTACAATCCTGAACATATATGCACCCAAATTCATAAAAACAACACTGCAGGACTTTAAAACACAGATTAACCCCAACTCAGTAATAGTAGGGGACTTCAATAGTGGGGACTACCCCACTGTCCCCATTAGACTGGTCAACCGGACAAAGAATAAACAGACATCTGAATTAACTGATACCATAAATCAAATGGCCCTAACAGACATCTTCTGAATATTCCACCAAAGCACCAACGAACACACTTTCTATTCCGCACCCCATGAAACTTTCTCAAAAATGGATCACATACTGGGGCACAGAACAAACCTCAACAAATACAAAAAAAATGAAATAATTTCATGAATTCTATCAGACCACAATGCAATAAAGCTTAAAATCAACTTGGGGCGGGGGGGGGGGGTACTGGAGAGGTGGCTCAGCGGTTAAGAACACTGGCTGTTCTTGCAGAAGACCCAGGTTCAAATCCCAGCACCCACATGGCCGCTAACAACTATCCATAACTCCAGTTCCAGCCTCTTCTGTCCTCCATGAGCATTGCACAACATCGGTGCACTTACCTACATGCAGGCAATACACACATAACACATAAAATAAAAATAATAAAATATATTTTTTTTTTAAAAAAAAATCAACTCCGGAGGGAGCCCTAGTAACTACACAAACTCATGGAAATTAAACGACACACTCCTGAAAGATGAGTGGGTCAAAGGAGAAATTAAGAAAAAAATAAAAATATTCCTGGAATTCAATGAAAAGGACAATACAACCCAACACAACCTCTGGGACACTTTAAAAGCAGTCCTAAGAGGAAAGTTTATACCTCTAAGTACTACATTAAAAATTAGAGCCGGGCGTGGTGGCGCATGCCTGTAGTCCCAGCACTTG